ACAATGTGACTGAATCGAAAACCAAGATTCAGGCCCAGTGGTTCCATCTGAATATGGCCTTCATGGCACTCTAGCGAACGTGAGATCTGAGCTGTCACCTATTCTATAAAACTTTGACACATTTTGCGGTGACCAGGTCGTGTGTGGCACATGTGGACAAGCTTTTCGGCTTTGTCAGCCACTGCAGCCGACTCCACCTTCGGTCGTCCTGACATTGTCTTGCCATCAGTGGATAGCGGGTGAGAGTTTAGTGAGTTAAGTAGATGCTTCACAAGTCTGCTCTCTTATAAACGGACTCACTCGTAGGTCACCGGTGCTGCTTCTAAGGCACGCGTCATACGTTGGACTTCGTTCCTCGCGACACTGAAATCCAACTTCCCGCCCAAACGTAGGGGCATCATTCTGCTCAAAAGATGGTTCGGTCACCTCTGCTGTCAATGTGCATGCAATTTTTCGAGCAGATAACGTTCACCTGCATTGCTCGGTCAAAGGGGAATTCGATAGTTGGTTGGTCCAAGCCCGCAGAAAATGGATTCGACAACTGCCAGATTGTACATTGAAAGATTGTCAATAAGAGTTTGGTCTCTTAACCTAAGAACCAGGAATACTTGATTGCAAAGTTTCTATCGATCGCTGTTGTCTGTTCTTGCATAGTTTTCGTTTCTTAAATGCACCTTCTTGACCAAATTTGACGAATATAGCATAGGAAATTGATTCCTGTATCAGATTCGTCACAACGAGGTTAGCCTTACCGTTGGCCTGGTGCAGTGTTGTTGTTAAAAATCTGGCGTAAAACACCATCCCCTCCTTATGCTACAGATGCGTAAACGTGCAGGACAAGAAAGTTGATGACCTAAGCTAACTTTTGGTGTTTGACTTTCATTTTCATGATTTTGCTCCCTAAGGCAAAGGTTAGGTCTATCCGGAAGCCAAAATCCGACTTTCATGTTGCCGAACTTTGCCAACTAATGGGTGTATATTTAGAAATATTTCAGTAAGGACCCTTTATTAAGTTCTAAATACCCCCAAGACAAATAATTTTGTAAAGCAAAACAAATGTACGTCAGTTCAACATCAAATCAGAAAATCACTTCGCGCCACGTGCATTTCGTGATTTGTTTCATGGACTCAAATCTCTTTCGAATTCTTGTACATTTCCCAACACGCATCAATGCAGTGCGCTGTGCGGAGAGTAAGGTCGTCAACTAATAAAAATAGGTTTTTGCTGGTTATAATCGCTCCTCTTGTTAATTCAGCAGTTGAGCTGAGTAGCCACGAAGCTTGTTCGGCTGAAAAAAACCTCGAACTAGATCAACTGGCATCAACTTACGCTCTAGCTGTCGTAGTGCCAATCACATATTCAGCCGACCAACCAGACAGGTCAAGAGAGTGGCGGAGGACAAACTACTACGTGGGTGGATTTCTCAGACATGCTTTCTAGTCAGGCATGGCCTCAACTCACGCTGTTTTCAAGAGGAGTCAGTCGGAGGCATTTTCTTTAGTGATCACACCTAGTCAAGTACGGCGTGTTGTTAGTAATCTGCGGTAGGCGGCGTATCACATGACACATTTATGGTAATAATAAATGCGGCTTTGGCGAGTAAGATTACTTGAGCGGATTTGAAAAACTGAGTGTTCTGAATCATAACCGGGAAAATTTTTAGTCAAGCCAGAACTCTGGCCTCTGAGTCCGCGTCTTTCAGAAAGAGCACAAAAAACTTCGACTCAGAGAGTGCCGCGTGCAGGAACCCACGGTGTATTTGTACGGTCACTCCAGTTTCGTGGATGCGTCTGGATGAACATTTCATACCATTGAATTGACAGATACACTATGCCTCAGATACGGTGCCCGCAGATACCATGCACGATGATATAGCATAGGCGCGCCTAGGATGGTAATAGATATCTGTAAGCAGCCTCTTTTGAGCACATCGACGGTGTGATATCTGCGCATATCTCGGCCCCTACCGGCATCCAGCTCTCATGTGAGGCTTCACGAAACCGTACTCAGCAGAGCGGCCACCATTTGCGAAGCAACGCTGACTGGGAGGTATACAAGATAAGAATATCTTGTATGCGCATGTACTAACACCCGGTAGCTGTCGAACATATCATAAACTCCCTTCTGCCCCGTCTCTATGAAAGATGTTGGCGAGGATAGGGTATTTAGGCCCATGCTTTTGTTGGGGTTACATGCCTGCTTATTTAAATTTGGTAGGCACGGTATTTCAGGGTTACCTTTATGGCTAAGCTTGAATGTGAGCAAATTGTGGTTAATAGTGCTAGAACCAAAATGCGCCGCAATAGTAGCAACTAAAGTACGCCCTCAACACGCTGAACTCAAAATTCCTGTATCGTAAGCCAACGTTGCATACGTAACGTTCTAGAAAATGTATCCCAAGGGGAATATCAAGTGTTGGTTTGGGGTTCACTGCAAAGATGTCCTCGGCTGTGAGGTATAGAAGGGAGACAGTGAAATCGTACCGAGTTGTTTTAAGGGTGTGGCGTCTGTCACGTTTCGTGCGACTAGTTTACTTTCTTGGTCTCTTTGGCAATTTGGACAAGGGGATAAATTTCGCAAGTTTACTAGTAACGCTGTCGCTCCTGTGTCGCTGGGTTTATTGGTTACGTAAAATAGAATAGCCGCAGACGAGGATCTTGTGCATGAGTTAATAAAAATAGCACCTGTAGCAGGTACTTGCCTGGCTGAGGT